GGTTGATCTCCTTGCAGTCCAGGGGATTCTCAAGAGTCTTCTCCAACACCACAGTTTGAAAGCATCAATTCTTTGGCCCTCAGCCTTCTTAATAGTCCAACTCTCACTTGCATACATGACTACTGGAAAACCATAGCTTTGACGATGATGCTCCTTTGGCGACAAAATGACTTCTCTGCTTTTTAATACACTATCTAGGTTTGTCATAGTTTTCCTTCAGGGAGCAAGCATCTTTTAATTTCATGGCTGCAGTCACTGTCTGCAGTGATTTTGGAGCCCCCAAAAAGAAAATCTGTCAATGCCTCCACCTTTTTCCCATCTATTTGCCATGCAGTGATGGGACCAGGTGCCATGATCTTAATTTTTTGAATATTGAGTTTTAAGCCAGCTTTTTCACTCTCTTTTTCACCCTTGTCAAGAGGTTCTTTAGTTTAGACTTGATATTGGTGAACACTAATATCATGAGGAACAGTGAAAGGAAATACATATGAAGTATAATAAGGCCAGTTAGTTCAATTCAGTAAAAGAAATATCTTTTGTGTGCCTACCTTATTCAGACAAGAAGGTATAAATAAAACATGGTCCTTACTATCAAGGAGTTTACATTCAAGTCCAGGAGACTAAAGAGATTGACCACATTTGAAATGTCACAGGACAGATGCGTGGAGACCGGGGTGGAGACCCTCTGGTGGGAAGAGCTGGATCTCTCTATGTTTAAGGTCTGGAGAAAGAGAGACATGTCAGAATCTCAATCAGAAGCTTGAGAGGGCCATGACTTAGGGGTAGGGACAAACTAGATGTAGACTGAATCTTACTAAAACTGCAACTGAGCTTCAACCTGGCTCAAACCCTGACTGAATTGAAGTCATCCTATCTACTCACCTTTCTGTTTAACAAAGTAAAGGGGGGATCTTATGTGATGGAAAATAACATTGTATATAGTCTCTTCTGTTATTTTGTATATGGTATCATGCAAAATAAAAAGGACTAGATAAACAAAGAGTCAAGAAATATAATCAATAATCAAGAGGAAAAGCAGACAAGTGGATCTGTGCATTATTTGGGTATTGTAGTTAACAGACAAGGATATTAATAAAACTATAAATAATATATTGAAAGTGAAAGAAAAGATGGCCAAAGGAGATGTAGTCAAAAATTGAAATGTACTTAAAAATATTTTTAATATAATATTAAATATGATATAATTCTCCTGTATTGCAGTCAAACTCTTTACCATCTGAGGCACTGTCTAAGCCACCATATTCAGTTCAGTTCAGTTCAGTCGCTCAGTCGTGTCTGACTCTTTGCAGCCCCATGAACCGCAGCACACCAGGCCTCCCTGTCCATCACCAGTTCCTGGAGTCCACCCAAACCCATGTCCATTGAGTCGGTGATGCCATCCAACCATCTCATCCTCTGTCATCCCCTTCTCCTCCTGCCCTTAATCTTTCCCAGCATCAGGGTCTTTTCAAATGAGTCAGCTCTCCACATCAGGTGGCCAAAGTACTGGAGTTTCAGCTTCAACGTCGGTCCCTCCAATGAACACCCAGGACTGATCTCCTTTAGGACAGACTGGTTGGATCTCCTTGCAGTGCAAGGGACTCTCAAGAGTCTTCTCCAACACCACAGTTCAATTCTTCGGCGCTCAGCTTTCTTGATAGTCCAACTCTCACATCCATACATGACTACTGGAAAAACCGTAGCCTTGACTAGACGGACCTTTGTTGGCAAAGTAATGTCTCTGCTTTTTAATATGCTGTCTAGGTTGGTGATAACCTTCCTTCCAAGGAGCAAGTGTCTTTTAATTTCATGGCTGCAGTCACCATCCGCAGTGATTTTGGAGCCTAGAAAAATAGTCAGTCACTGTTTCCACTGTTTCCCCATCTATTTCCCATGAAGTGATGGGACCAGATGCCATGATCTTAGTTTTCTGAATGTTGAGCTTTAAGGCAACTTTTTCACTCTCCTCTTTCACTTTCATCAAGAAGCTCTTTAGTTCTTCTTCACTTTCTGCCATAAGGGTGGTGTCATCTGCATATCTGAGGTTATTGATATTTCTCCCAGCAATCTTGATTCCAGCTTGGGCTTCCTCCAGCCCAGCATTTCTCATATAATAAAATATATATTAAGATAGGTCTGAAAATATATTAAAATAGGCTAGGGTTAGGGTTTGGGTTATTAAAAAGAGGTCTCTGGTGGATAAATTTAGAAGTTTGGCCACAGCAGAACACAAGAGAAGCAAACTAGAATACAGATCAATAGAACACATAGAGATCAAGGCACAGAGGGGAAAAGAATAGATAGGATGTTTAAGAGAATAAGAGACATGTGGGCCACACATAAAGGTCTAACTTATGTATCAACATAAGTAAAATCTCAGAAAGAATAAAGAGCAACAGTGTCCATCATCAATGAAATAAATCAGCCCAGTAACAAGCTATACAGTAATGAAAATAAACAACCTATAACTACATGCAACATTATATATGAATATCACAAAAATAAAGTTGAGTTTAAATAAAAGGTAGATAGAAATGAATACATATGGTAAAATTCCATTTATAACAAATTAGAAAAACAGATGAAACCATTCTGTGAGAAGTCTGGGTCGTGATAACCTTTGGGGAGGTAGCAGTGACTGGAAGGGAGCATCATGAGGGACTTCTGCATCTGAAGTTGCTCTGTTTCTTGAACTAGTTGTCCGTTACCAGTTACATTCGTGCATCCACTTTTGAAACTTCATTGTACACTTTTGATGGTGACATTATCTTCTATGGATTTTATTGAGGTTGCATGTGTGCATGCTCAGTTGCTCAGTCACATCCAACTCTATGGGACCCTATGGATTGTAGCTCACCAGGCTCCTCCGTCCATGGGATTTTCCAGGCAAGAATACTAGAGTAGGTTGCCACTTCCTCCTCCAAGGGATCTTCTGACACAGGGATCGAACCCACATCTCTTGGGTCTCCTGCATTGGCAAGTGAATTCTTTACCACTTCAGTTCAGTTCAGTTCAGTTCAGTCTCTCAGTCATGTCAGAGTCTTTGCGACCCCATGGACTGCAGCACGCCAGGCCTCCCTGTTCATCACCACTTCACCTGGAAAACTCCAATATTGAGGTTACTAAGATTTTATTTGTTACTAGTTAAGTAACTAATTAAGCTTCCCAGTTGGTTCAGTGGTAAAGAATCCACCTGCCAATGCAGGAGATACAGGTTCGATCCCTTGGTCAGGAAGATCCCATGGAGGAGGAAGTGGCAACCCACTCCAGGATGCCTGCTGGGAAAACCCTATAGACAAAGGAGCCTGGTGAGATATAGTTCGTGAGGTTGCAAAGAGTCAGATGTGACTGCGCACGCACACACACAAAGTAACTAATTAGAAAAAGAGAGTAGAACTCAAAAAATCTGTGATATGCATATAATTATATATATATATATCCATCTACATTATATATATACTATCTACATTATATACATACCATCTACATTATATATATGTATATATAATGGTATATATACCTTTATATTATATATGTAAATTCATATCTATCCTGTCACATATTATAGGACTCAGTCATCTTGGCAAGATTTAAGACTGTAGTTTAAGATAAATTAAAATTTTTTAAATCACAAATTAAATTTAGGCTCAATATAATGAATGTCCCAGTATGAATGAGCCGTATGTCTTTATCTCACTTGGACGTAAAGCATACACTCTTAAACAGTATTAACACTATTAAGTTGTGATTCTTAGCAAATGAGTTACAGAATTCTATTTAAAACATAGCAATACTTTTAGGGAAAAATGACATTTTCTATCCCAGCTTCCTTAATCAAGAAACACATGTGGTGTTATATAATTTTTTAAAGTGTAAGTATTACTAGGAATCACTGACTTAATAGACATGAGTTTGAGCAAACTCTGGGAGATAGTGAAGGACAGGGAAGCCTGGCATTCTGCAGTCCATGGGATTGCAAAGAGTTAGACATGACTTAGCAACTGAACAACAATAACAATTACTAGGAATTATATAGCAATAATAATTTGAAGTACCATCACTGAGGTTTCCCCGATGACTTCTATTTCTCTTAACATATATTTAATGCAACCCCAGGTCCAAGGCAGTTTCAGTGGAATTTGTTCTATTACCAGTCAAGGCTCACAGATGTGGAATTGTTCATCCTAAGAGCATATGTGTATTTGATGTAAAACATTTGCTTTTCAAAGATACATTAATGTGAACTCTAATATTAAAAATGTTCAGTTTCTCAGTCATATCTGACTCTGCAACCCCATGGTCTGCATAGGACAGGCTTCCCTGTCCTTCACCAACTCCCAGAGCTTGCCTAAACTTATGTCCATTGGGTCAATGATGCCATCCAACCATCTCATCCTCTGTCGTCCCCTTCTCCTCCTGCCTTCAGTATTTCTCAGCATCAGGATCTTTTCTAATCAGTTGGCTCTTCACATCAGGTGGCCAAAGTATTAGAGCTTCAACTTCAGCCTCAGTCCTTCCTATTGATATTCAGGACTGATCTCCTTTAGGATTGACTCGTTTGATTTCCTTGCAGTCCAAGAGACTCTCAAGAGTCTTCTCCAACACCACAGTTTGAAAGCATCAGTTCTTTGGTGCTCAGCCTTTATGCTCTGACTCTCACATCCATACGTGACCACTGGAAAAACCATAGTTTTGACTACATGTACCTCTGTCAGCAAAGTAATGTCTCTGCTTTTTAATATGCTGTCTAGGTTTGCCATAGCTTTTCCTTCAAGCAGCTAGCGTCTTTTAATTTCATGGCTGCAGTCACCATCCATGGTGATTTTGGAGCCTAAGAAAATAAAGTCTGTCACTGTTTCCATTATTTCCCCATCTATTTGTTATGAAGTGATGGGACTGAATGCTGTGATCTTTGTTTTTTGAATGTTTAGTTTTAACAGCTTTTAAGAAACGTTAAATATGTTTGTCAGCGTGATAATGTGTATTTAATTCTCTTGTAGGACTGCATCAAAACATGTAAACAAGGACCTTGGTAATATGGAAGAAAACAAAAAGTTAGAAGAAAACAGTCACAAAACAGAAGCCTAAGAGAGAAACTGTTCCACTTGTTGTCCAGGTGGGTAGGCTGTGTGAGGTTTACAAAGATCATTCCCAGGAATATATGAAACATTCTAGTGATGAAAGGGAAGGCCTTGACATTAACATGCATTATAATTGCAGCTTTAAAAACAGGAAGTGATTTTTTCCAAAGAAAACTTTGGTTACTCAGAAAGGTATTCTCAGAAGAATGGAATCTCAATGGACTCCCCATTCTCAAGAAGATCATTATCCTCAGGATAATTGAACTCAATTTAGAGATTTTAACATTCAGTGAGCATTTTCAATCTAATGCCAAAAATTTTGCTGAGTGCAAAAAGCTTAATTTTATAAGTTGATGTTTTGGTTAGGTAAGAGCCATTCTCATATTTTACTTTAAAAAGCAACTGTGAGAACAATTTTAAGATATAATTTTAATCCAAGGATTTAATACACTTAGAAGTGTCAGTGCATTTATGCAGCCATTTCTGAATCATTCTAATGAAAAGACTAACAAATTTGTATGTGTGTACACACAACTTTTCCAAATAGTGTATATGTTATATGTGTGTATCTCTACATGCATATATATGTGTGTATAATGCACATATTGATATTATATATGTACATATATATTGCATATATCTATATATAATTGCTATGTAAGTATGCTTTTAAAGACAGTCTCCAAGAGGTATGTTTCCATGGTATTGCCTCTTTCAATTTGAACATTTTTTTTTAATTTATGCTCTCTCAAGCCAGCCCAACAGAGGTCATTTGGACAAATTATTTTTTATGTCCTTGAGGATAAGTGTTACCTTACTTTATTCATATATATAAAAGTCTCCAACAGCCACAGTGAAATTTGGTTGATTGTAAGTAAACCACAAGTTAAATATTTGAGTAGGTCACCTAAGTTTATCCCATAAAGGAGATGAGAACAAGGGAAGGAATTGAAATTAGAAGGATGCACACAGGAAAGAAAAATAAAATGACTGAAATAAGACATTTTTAAAATCTGAAAACAAGAATTTCAAAATGATAGGGTGAAAGGAGTAAAAACTAAATTCGTTCCCCATCCTGCCTCCCATTGGAGGCCAAGAATGCAGCATTCCCACCTGATTTTTATTTCTGCTTCTCTAGGATTCATTCCTCAATCCTTTATAAACATAGAGTTTGCCTTCTGTTTTCTTCAAAATCAGATAGAGGAAATTCTCAAAGGAAAATTGAGCTTGAATACAAAGCCTACAAAATGAGGTGTGATTTGAAGGGATAAATGAGATTTTTAACCTGAAGAGAAACAGAATGAAATATTTTCATGCAAAACCTTATAATTTTCATAAGAATTAAGCAAGTTTCCCCAAAATAAAGACTTTCAACAATTCAAAAAAAAAATTATTAGTTGAAGAGCTGCAACAATAACTGGGATTACAGCTAGGTTCAGGGATGACAGAGTTTTATAAAAAGTTCTTGCAAAGTATCACATTTAATATAAAGCATATACTGATTGTGAAAAGTGATTGCTATGGTAACTTATCTGAATTGTGTGGGTTTCTTTTTATAATTTCAGAAAAAAACTATATAGAACAATTGAAGCATGAACGTGGATTGTATTTAAGACATATACAAAGACACTGACAGCAATTCATGGTTCAAGTATTAAGCAGTTCATTCTACCAAGCTGTCATGGGATATCAGAGAATTATCTCAAGTAAAACAATGAAATGAAATTACAAATAATAACAAGTTTTGGCAGCCATGATGATAGGTCATATATTGTGTTGGTTTGATTTTTTTCTGTAAATGTCTGCACTGAGAATTTCTTTTTGGTTTGCCTTTTATGTAAATTTTTTACGTAGCTATTTTTATACACTGTAAGCTTTGTTCTGGGAGTTGCTGTTAATCTGATGTATAATGTGATGTTTTTATTTCAATTGTTTATATGAATAATCTGAGCAGGTACCTTTCTGATTCTGATTGCTATCAGTAATGCCCCCAAACTTTCTCACAAGCACCTAAATCCCAAAGGTGGAAGCTTGTGAAGATTGGGGACATTGCCCTAATCAAAAACTGATTTTTATCACTAGGGAGGAGTCAGAGAGTCAGGTTGATAAGCACCAGATGAACTATTTCTGTGAATGTGCCGCCAGCTGACTCTCAGAAGCAGTCACACACACATATGGACACACACATAATAACAAATAGTACTCCCAAACTGACGCTTTTTCCTGTTCTGAAAAAAACATCACACAGAACTTGAGTAGCATTTACCTTTAGAGACAACTGCTAGTAAATTATTTTCTGTCAAAAAAAAAAAAAATACAAGCCAATGTATGAGAGACAGTTTGGAAAACTCATGGCTAACATTCCCATTTTCATAGGTTACAATGTAAATCACTGGAACTGAAAATTGGAGTTAAATCCTTTGGGTTATCCACTGCCTTAAAATTGTACCTATTTCCTTTAAAAAAAAAAGGTATCAGTCAGAATTGGAGATTTTTAACAGTGGTCATTATCAAAGCTGTGTTATTTTCCACAGAATATAGAATATATATTTTTTTCGTGTGTGTTTTTGTTAACTACGCTACAGATATTGAATGCACCTTGAGATCATTTAGTGTTTTTAACTGGTACATAATTTATCAAACAGTATGTTAAAGTGTAATAATAAAATGTCTATGTATCTTTAGTTACATTCAAATTTGTAACTTTATAAACATGTTTTATGCTGGAGGAGCTCTATAGGGTGGTTGTGTTAAATGAAAATTTTTTGAGGTAGACCGGATATTTGCCAATAGCTACTTGTGACAAGACTTTTAAACTTTGCTCTTTCAAGCAGAAGCCTGGTTTCTGGGAGAACATGGCATGGCCATTTTTGTCCCAGGAGTTACATAACTTTATCGGAAAAAAAATGAACATCAGATTTCCAGGTATAGAACTGTGTTCTTTGGGAGGAAAGGAAAACTGGTGTTTTTCCTTTTTAGATTGATGGAATTAGGAAGACAATGAAAAATAAATTGAAGATTAAAGTCAGAAGAAGATTAGGAATAAATACTTTGCCACTTTTGCATTATTTAGAAATACACATTGTACATTTGTAAACTGTTTGCTGTCGGAGCCATAGTGACTCAGTTTAATAAAAGCCTCCTATAGTGTATTGGTATGAATTAAATACATAAAATATTCTATTAGACTCAATGCTGTATAAAATATGATGGGAAAAAAGAAAATATGTTATTTTTGCCTCTAAACTTTGATTTATTGAAGTTTTATTTGGCAGGAAAAAAATTGAATCTTGGTCAATATTTAAACCAAAGTGAAAGGGGAAAAACCAAAGTTATTTGTTCTGCATGGCTATGCCATTCTGTTATCTCTGTAAATACTGTGATTTCTTTTTTTCTTTTATCTTAGAATTTTGTTAAAAAAATTCTAAAAATTTTAAACACCTCCTTTCCATGATAAATCATGAACACTAAAATTAAGTTACTTTCATATAAATATTTTTTTCTTTTGGTGTGAGAGATCAAAGTTTCAAAGTTTAACTCCTGAGATATATTTGCAGAAAGAAGCAATGTGACAATAGAAGGAGAGGTTTATACTGCAATTATTTCTTGGCTTCTGTGGTTAAGTCTGAAAACAGCTGTCAGAACCTAGAGAGCAGAACATGGGAAGCTCTGAGCTATGGACTGAAAGCAGAAAGTTTGCCAGGGGGAAGAAAGAGACAACATTGTTATCAGTGGATCAGCGCCTGGACGAAAAGGAAAGCCTGTGCGTGTGCCGACAGCCGTCAGCACAGCAAGGCGGGGAAGGAAGATGATACATCACTTCTCAACTTTGAGGTTCCATTTTTCCAACTTAACTGTTTGACAACAGGAGACAGGTTTTGCCAGTTCAAGGTTCACTCCCTATCTGTGATTACAGGAATTGTATGTGGAAATGGATTAACATACCCATCAATACCTAAAATAATAAAACTGAAATATGTCTTCACGTCTCTCACAGCTGGTCTGACTCTTGTCTAAGCTAGGATGTCAATGCATAGAAAGTAGTTGTCTTTATTATAGAGTGGAAAACTCATTGTGAGTCCCCATCTCCCTGGAGAGGTAACGCAGCAAAATAAAATTGTCTCTGCCCTCCAATTATGTCAGGTGGGCCACTTCAGCTGGTCCTCGATTTCACAAGTGGTGATTTCTATAATGCGTGTCTCCATTTTCAACCATGGAATCATGCTTACTTTGGTTGTCCCATGTCATTGTCCTCGGAACTGAATTACGAGGACCCTTGCCAGTTTCTTCACTTCCTCTCTAACACTCCATTCAGCATACTATTTGACGTTACCTAGGGATGAACCTAGAAATGCCTCCCCCTCAAAATAAGGTAAAGCTAGCTATGTGTGTCAGAGAAAGTTCAGTTCATTTCGGTCACTCGGTCATGTCCGACTCTGTGGCTCCATGGATTGCCGCATGCCAGAGAAGTAATTAATACTTATTGAGCCCATACTATGAGCTCTGCCCATCTATATATTATCTTATTTAATCCTTAACAGTTATAAGTAGCATTAAATATCCCCCATTTAATAGAAGAAAACTAAGGTTTAGAAAGATACTATAACTCCTGAGTACATTTAGCTTCTAAGTAGGTAAGTCAGGTATCAAACCAGATCTGATCTAAAGGCTGGGCTCACCAGAATCTATTGTAGTTACCACACTTCTTTAATAAACAGATCCTCCTTTTCATGATATGCAAAACTGAGAAATATTGATTGGTACATGAACTGGTTATACCATCTATAAAGGATTATTCCAAGATATTTAAATGACTGAATAGACAAATATTATAATAGTTTAATATTATATATTAGAAATTATATATGTAATTGTATAATGTGTGTTCAAACACATTTGTATTTAAATTTAATATATCACATCACATTTTTAAGTACTTTCTACACATGCACATACATATATATATTTCACATATACATGTACCACATAACTTTTTTTTTTTAATTG